TAGAGAAGTCATTAATGAAAGTAATGAAATATTGAGATCCACCTTTAGACAACTCCCTCATTGGTCCCCGAACATTAGAATGCTCATAATCAATAATCTCCTCTGTCTTGTGTTTTCCCGTCTTGAGCTATACTTTGGACTGTTTTCCAAGTACAAGAAATTTTTAGAAACCTAGCTTGCATGATTTTACTCTCTTCAACAAATTCCTCTTGTGAAACACAATCATACCACGTTCTCCTATATGCTCCAGTGGCATATGTCATTGGAGAGTGTCATTTGATTGAGATTTTGCTTAAGCAACTCCACCTATAACTATATTCCCTAGTACTTTGTACATATTCTTGGTCAATTTTTGACCCTTCCTCACAATCATAGCTTCTTTCTTCACTGTCAAGGCCCCCAACTCTGACTTATAAGAATAATGACCGGTGTCTAAAGTGCTTAAAAAAATTAGATTCTTTCGTAGCTCTGTTACATGCTTAACAACCTCCAAAGTCCTCACCATACCATTGAAAATTTTAATTTTTACTTACTGCATTCCAATCACCTTATATGATGCATTATTACCCATTAGAGCATATCCAAAATTACCTTGAACGATATGAATCAATCCCGGTGAGGACATGTGATAAGAACAGGTTGAATCAAGTGCCTAGGAGTTATGAGATCTGGCAGAATTATTTGCAGAAACTAGTAGCATGTCCCCATCTCTAGAATTTTTGAGGACCCATCACCTTTCCTTTTATCACCCTGCTCATTATTCGAACAGTCTTTAAAGTGACGCATTTGATGGCGCTTGTAGTAATTGAGGTTTTTCTTATTTTGATTCTTGAATTTTGATCTCGTATTCACTTTGTAAGAATCGCCACTGTCCTTTCTCTCACGGTCCTGGTAGCCTTTCATGATCAATCTTTCACTCTATAAACTTTTGCCACTATGCAGTTTTCGCTGGTTGTAGGTCAACAAAGCTAATGTGACTTTTTCCAATTCGAGTCTCTTTATCCCACGTCAGCATGGTCATTAGGTGGTTGTACGATGAGGAAGGGAGCACAGCAATATCGTTGCCTTGTCTTCATCATCAAACTTGATTTCAAGTCCTAGCAAATCGCTGATAATATAATTGAACATATTAGCGTGTTGAATCAAATTTGTATCCTCCAACATTTTGAGCCCGTACAGTCTCTGCATCTGATGTAGCTTGTTCGTGAGAGATTTTGACATATAACGACTCTCCAATTTTAGCCAAACCTCTTAGAGACTCAACGTTTATGACGTGATACATGATTTCGTCCGTCAAATAGAGCCGAACTGTACCCACTGCTTGCGCCTTGAGCTCTTCCTAATTGGTATCCGACGTACCCTGTGATTTTTTCCTAGATAGTGCCTTCACCATCCCTTGCTGCTCCAACAAATCCTTTACCCTTCGTTGGCATAATTCGAAATTTTCAGTTCCGTCAAACTTTATCACATTGAATTTTGCAATCAAACATACTTTGTTGTTTGATTTTTATGTGCAATAATAAAGAGATGAAAGAGAGAAATCAACACAAGTATTTCCGTCGTTTGACAATGTGCATACGTCCACAAAGAGCGAAGTGGAGATATTTTATTCAGTATGAATGATAGGGTTATATCATCAGTATTTATACTAAGTTTAGCCCAAATCCATGAAGACTCTATGGCTCGTACAAGAAAATACCCCTGTGCTATACCACGGGCTTAGCTTCTCGGCAAATAGATAGTAAATTAGAAAGTTTCTATGCAATCGAGTATCATAGGTTTATTGAAATGGGGATATTTTATCTCAAATTTTGATATCATAAAACAATTGTTAATACCTTGGAATGGTAGCCTTTTAGTTTGGCTCAATATTGGTGACCATAGATTTTCACTATGTAAAATTGGAAAGTTATATTGAGCAGATTGATTAGTAGAGGGAGTAGACCATAATTAACACGACTTATTGAGGTGGTGGTTATTTTTGTGTAAAATATTGTTGAAGATAAAATGAAATGCAATTTGTTTTTTACCAAGTAGGTGGCTTTGGTGTTTCTTAATATGTTTGGCAGTTAAAACTTGTTCTAGCTGGATGGTTGAGGGACCTCTGTTTGGTTGAACTGGTTTGCTTTTCACTTCAAGAAAGATGTATAATCATTTCTTACATGAGATGGCTTAAGTACTAAGTTAAGTCCTGCTGATTTTAAATTTACTGGGTATGGTTACTGTCCAGTGCGACAAATTTTTTTAGGTAGATCTATTACTATGGTAAAATCAATGGACCATGCTTGAGAAAATTGCAGCTATGATTCCTATGAATCTGAAGGCAGATAATTATGTAAAGTATTGATCATATCAAATATTGTTGTGTAAGTAATGCTAATAATCAACGCAACAGCCTCGTGCTATAGCCTCATTGCAAGCGTCTAAGTTGATGATGAGTTTTTGGTGTTAATTATGAACTAAGAGGAAGTTTGCATAATGTCATAATGAGATAAGCTTTTGGATATCTACCTATTTTTCATTTATGGTTTGGTGTATTTTTTCCTTTCTTCATCATTACCTCATTATCATATTTAAATGCTGTTGGTTGCACCTCGGATTTGGAATTTCAACATTTTCCTTTTGTTTTCATAAAGATTTCCAAGTATGCATATATTACTTTTATCTTGCTTTAGTTATCACATAAATTAGAGTTATGGAGTTCAAAGCTCCCAAAATAACTTTTTTCTCCAGATTAGATGACCAAGACCCTAGGAAGTCCTCAGGCAATACGACTTGGAGTGACTGTAAAATGGGGATCCAGTGGATGGAATGCACAGTTTAGCATGAAGCATTAAGTTCTAAGATGTTTTCTCTTAATTTTTTGTGTATTAGATATTTACAGATGTCGGAATCTACCTTCTCATTTGCTAGAGACAGTTAAACTATCCCTATTAACCAACTGAACTGATAGTGCATTTTGTGTTGTTACAATTGTTTTGAAGTTTGCTTGGTTCTGTCCGACCTAGCTATATTTAGAATCCTGTTAGAAGTATGCTATTTCTAGATAAGCTTCAATCCTCTCAAGGGCATAAATTGGTATACAGGGCAGATGAGTTGAATTTAGTAAAATATTTCTTCATTTATTCATCTGGAAAAAGTTGTATTTTATTCCTTGGCGTTGCCTTAAGCCAGCTAGATAACAAGATTGCTTAGGCTCATAAAGTGTAGGTCTTCTTGTCATATGCGCATATTCACTTGAACATATGCAATCAGTAAGGCTACTGGTTTCTCATGTTACTGTCGGGGGATAAAATCAACAAGTTTTAGTTACAAGTTCTTGGTCTTTGCATACACTGTGCGAGGACGTCATTTCCTGCATTAGGTCGTTCCATTGCTGGAGTTTATAAAAATCTGATCTAGTAATGAGAGGATCACTAAGTTTAGCAATCAAACTTGGTATAGGATCAAAAACATCAATAGATGTGCAAGTTCCATGAGATCAGGCTGTGGGAGATAACTTGTTTGTGCTGAAGTTGTCGGACCTGTGACAATGTAAACTCTAAATTGGGTCTGCATGGGAAATTTGATTATTGTAAAGCATTGGCAACATCTTTGACCAACGATGTAATCAATCCCACGTAGGAGTATTTGACATTAGCCACCAATATATGTGATTTTTTTTTTTAATTTTTTAATTATTTTTTATGTTAAATGGAGAAAAGAAAAGACAAAAGGAAAAATGAAAAAGGAAAAAAAAAAAAAAAGTCTGGCAACTTGGGTATCTAACACGAAGTATCTTAAATAGTAATTGAAATTCATCTGATAGTAAAATCAACTGGTCATCAATTGTTCACCATTCTCTTTTCTAGAAGATCGATTGCAAAAGTAAATTGACTAGACTGTACTTTAGGAAATTGCGACTGAGTTTGTGGCGGATTATGTAAAAAATAATGTAACATCAAATATTATCTCGTAAATTATACCATGCTTGTTTACCTTGCACAACATTCTCGATGTTGGCATCAATGCAGATATGACTGTTGTTTGTTAATTATGAGTAGTAAATATTTTGTGACGTTGTCATTAAATAGGTTATTGAGTATTTTCCTTACTTTTTGCTTTATGGTTTGCCAGATTTTCTTGTTTATACCCTTCATGGTTTTAGTACCTGATCGTCTTAAAAGTTAAAATCATATAACTTGAGTACTAGGACTACATCCATTTATAAGTAGAATGAGTTTCACTGAGAGAAAACCCCATGAATTCTTGATGAGTTAATCTGATAGTTATTAGATTGTCAATTAAATTAGAAACAGAATTCTACTTTTATTCATTGGAATACAAATTGCTATATTCTAGTCTGGAGTTTTTTAGTACCCTGATTTAACTTGTTGATGCCAGGGATGATATTAGTGACCTCATCGATGAGATAGTTGTGAATACTAAGAAGCTAATGAAAGCAACTTCCAGAGAGGTGGAGAAATGGAGAAGATAGTCGACTACCTAATGCTTGATGTACAATGTATTTCCAGTTGTAACAATATCCAGCTCGATTAGTTGAATGCTCAAGTAAAAGAACGCATCTCTTGGTGATTTATCATGTATGTAATATCCATTAAGTGGAATGTGCTAGCTTTGTTATTTGGTTACTGATTGCTATGGTTATCTGTTTCCAAGTGATGGTTAGGTTTCAAATACTCTCTCATGTAGCCCATGTTTGGTAGGGACTATATAAAATTGATTTTGTGAAAATTGAATTTTATTGTTATTTTATTATTATTTTTTTAGACTGCAACCAATTTTTAGGGCAAATCATTGCTTCAATCATCTTTTCTCTCAATGAACTCCTAAAAGAAAAATAAAATAAAATTCAACCACTGGTAAGGGATGAAAACTCAAAAGTAATTTTGAATATTTGAATGGCTAACACATCTTTAATGATATAAAAGTGCTTATTTGCATTCAATTTTTGATAAAGTAATATATTGAAAGGATCATTGATCAAGTATTTACGACGACAATTTAAGTAATCTATCAAATCAATTATAGCAATTAACAAAAAAATTTACCAATTAAGTTAAAATATAAAATAATAAATTGAGTGATTGGACTGAAAAATTGAGACGCAAATAAATAAAAAATATCGCCCAACTAAAAATTGAAGAGAACTCAGAACAAATAAGAACAAAATAACACAATTATCAATATAATATAGCAAACAATTATCAAAAGTTAAGGAAAGCTGAATAAACTCACTTAAGCCAAAATTTGATAAAATTACTAGTAGAAAAAAAAGAAGAAATAATGTGTTTGAATTAAAATTTAGATTTAACTGTCTTCTCAATCATTATGGCTAATCGGTGAAAATGGATCAACAACAATCGTTCAACATTTCATCCAATTTGGGAATTTTGCATTTACAGTTGTTAGAGCTAATTAGCATTTGGACATAGTTTAATTAATTAATTGGGATGGATAATTGTCCAAGGGATTGTTGAGTTTAACTGTGTTGGGTCTAATATGAATATATCCTTTTAATTGAAATGTGTTTAATTTTAATTGAGTTAAATAAAATTTAAATTAATTTATTTTTAGATTTTTTAAATGGTTTGATGATTTGAAATAGTTTAAAAAGATTGAAACTTAAACCAAATCCCGTTAGAAGCAGTCTGATTCAATTTAAAAGCAAAACATTGATGGATTTACTTAGGTCCAAATCAACGGTTTTTAAAAAATGCAATTTCGTCTCGACTTTTCGGTTTGACAATCTTGTTGTTCAGTCCTAGAATTCATGTTACATAGATTATGAGTGGTTAGGTATCTTAAGAAAGTTTTTGAATAAATAAGTAATTTTATTATTTTCTACAAATGACACTCTCTTCTACTTACTAGCTATTACTACATTGCCAAATACCTCCTTTTAACTGTGGAGGTCGCAGTAATGTCTGCGGCGTTCCTAATTATGTCATTAAGTTACTAGTTAGCCTCTGTTTTCCTAAAAATGGATGAAATAAATTATTTATTATTATTATTATTATTTTAAATGAGTGGTTGAAAAAAAAGAAAAAATTTTCGATTTACGTGTAATATTATTTTATGGAAGATTGTGTGGTTGAAAATATGAGAAAGAAAAATGGAATGTAATTTACAGCTTATTTGGTACAGCTTTTTAGCCAATTAAAATCAATTTTTTATCGTTATTTTACTATTCCAGCCATTATTTTTGAATTATTATCTCACAGGTAGGGCCCACTTTAACTCTAACGGTCAAAATACCAATTATCAAAATCTCTACCAAACAAGCAATTAATGGTACCAAACGGGAGCTTAATCTGATGAATAAAGTAATAAAATTTCTTATTCATAGTAACCCTGAAAATTTATCTAACTTGGTGAAGATAGATGAGTAATTTGATTTACTATTAGAGATGGTTAGAAAATTATACTGTGTGAATCTTGATACAAGGAAGAGTACAGAATTAGACATAGCAATATTAAAAAGGTTGAACCCCAACCTTAAACCCCAACCTTAAGGGCTCCCACCGTCCCGTCCTAGAGCTTTGTAAGGGAGATAAATCGTGAGATGTGTCCCAACAGACCAAGGAACAAGAGCTGCCTGTACACTGTGCCTACAAGGAGTCCAATTTCATATTTCAGTAATCGAACCCCACACCGTGACTTATGACTTGAAGGCACCTTCTACTTCTAATTTAAGTAAACCAGAGTCTACAGAAGATATGGATATGGATTCAGCGGAAGAAATTGTTATCGTCGGCGGTGGGATTTGCGGCCTAGCTCTCGCCCTTGCTCTTCACAGGTTGCTTGCTTGCTAACTAATTCCTTTGTTTAATTTTAAATAAATAATATACCATTATATATTGACTGTTGACATGCAGAAAAGGGATGAGAAGCATAATTTTGGAAAAATCTGAAACCTTGCGAGATACAGGAGCAGCTATCGGCATCAGAGCTAATGGCTGGCGGGCACTTGATCAGTTTGGCGTCGCCTCAGAACTTAGGCACAAGGCTGTTACTATTCCCAGGTACAACAACCTTCAGTTTAACTTGAGCAGTCTTGATCTCTTGCCCCCATTGGATGGTAAAGTTCTCTTTTTACAGTGTTCTCAGGAGATCAATTTCATTATCTTGAATAAAAATAGTTATACTTTTGATAAAACAAGCATTTAGAAGCGGAAGGACACCGGTGAAGGAAAGGCCAAGAATGGGGCAAACTTGAGATGAAGACATAGATAGAGTGATGGGAATGGCCAGATGGGAGACATTTAATAAAATTTATAACTACATAAAATTTTCTTCAGATTTTAGAGGGGTATTAAAGTGAGGTGAGTAAATATTTGGTTCAAGTCTCGTCGTCTGTGAAAATTGTCCACGTGTCTGACTTTTAACTGAACCAAAGACAAAAGTTTTGTTATCTTTCTATTATCTTGAATTTTTAGAAGAAGTGGTTCGAAGGAAGAATAGATTAAGGTGGCAAAAGGAGGCGTATGTTACCCATTCCTTGCTCCTAAGCCTAAGATTGCTACCATTGTTGTCAAGTAGTTTGCCATTTTACAGGATTCGAGATGTATGGATTGATGTAGGAAAGCAAGAAGAAATACCGGAGTAAGTCATAATAGAACAACTTCACTAACAGTAATAAACATCTGTAATTTATTAGATATCTAACTAAAAGCATTTGGATAGAGTTGGTGAGTTGCGCTGCGTGAAGAGGAACGATCTTATCAAAATCCTGGCTGATGCTTTGCCACCCGGAACAGTACGCTTTGGATGCCAGATTGTCTCAGTAAATATGGACCAGGAAAATGTGTATCCCACTCTTCGTCTTTATGGTGGAAAATCAATACAAGCTAAGGTAATAGAGAATTATTAATATGATCTGAATTGAAACACTTTGGTATTCATCAGATGATGCTTGTCAAGGTTAAATTTGATGCCAATTCTCCTATTATCCCCCAAAAGCATGGGAACTGCATAATTAAAGAGTGTACTAGACAAACAATTTATTAGATTACAGCATTGATTTTTCTGATTATTGTTACAGGTTCTGATTGGATGTGATGGATCTCGGTCAATCGTGGCTGAGTTCCTTGGGCTCAAAACTGCAAAACCTTTTTCTCTTCTTGCAGTTAGAGGTTTAGCCAATTATCCAAATGGTCATGCGTATCCTCGTGAGTTCACTCGCATGAGAAGGGGCAAAATCACGGTTGGAAGAAGTCCAATTACCGATAATCTGGTATATTGGTTCGTGCTTCAACAATCGACCCAATCAGGTGAAATTTCACATCCTTTTTCTTCTGTTTCCTAGTTAAAATGTGTTCAAGAATCAAGCATAAGCTCTCTAATTTATCTTCTTTTGTCCTTGTGTTCATCGTTTATAAATATAAACAGATGAAAATTTGACACATGATCCGGAAACAATCAAACGATCAACCTCAAATATAGTGAGTGGCTTCCCAAGTGATGTAATAGAGATGATAGAAGGGGCAGAGGTTGATTCATTGCCCCTAACTCACTTGAGGCATCGTGCGCCATGGGATTTGCTACTAACAACATTCAGGAAAGGAACGGTGACAGTGGCCGGAGATGCAATGCATGTAATGGGCCCATTCCTTGGACAAGGTGGCTCGGCAGCTTTAGAAGATGCCGTTGTCCTTGCCAGATGTTTGGGACAAAGAATAAGAACTGAAGACTTGTCTAACGGTGGTAGGCAGATACTGATAGACGAAGCTGGAGAAGCAATCGATCAATATGTGAAGGAAAGGAGAAAACGGGTGGTGGCATTGTCAACACGAACATATGTTACCGGCCTTCTATTGGAAACGAGATCGCAGCTGGTGAAATTCGCTGCAATTGTGTTGTTGGCCATTCTGTTCAGAGACCCAATTAGTCACACTAAATATGACTGTGGTAGACTTTAGTGTAAAAAACAATATGACTTCCTTATGTTATGTTTCGATATCTTCGGTTTGAAAATTCATGTTGAAAATTACATCCCTTTGTATTCCTATATGACAAATCCTGTATTTCCATGTTTTTAGGTAGTTTTGTGCTCTTTTGATTCCCATAAATCATTAACTGCATGAACCACAAATCTCTACGAAGTCCATAATTATTTGTCTGGATTTTGCATTAAAACAGATGAGTAAAGATACATTTTGAATTTTGCTGTGTTATATAATTATCTTTCACTTTCCTTCATTTATGCACGGTTTTCTTCCTTTGCACTCGATTTTCAGATTGTTGATCTAAATTATTAGAGTTCTTTTTCATGGTATTAGAGTCAGGGGGGAGGAGTTTACTCTCTGTATCCTCGTGAAACAAATCAGTCAGTGCTCTGGGATTGATTTAGATAAGCCTGTTGTTGGGCTTGTCATATTTGGGTGGGTGTTTATTTCACTCATAAGGTGAGAGAAAAAGTATTCTGTCCACAATGAGCACATCTTATATTGTCCACTCGTCGATGTGGTGTTGCCACATTTGCGGGTCAAATTTTTTTTTTGATATGTCAAAAAAAGCGGTTTGACCTCACGATGTGCAAAGTTTATCTTACCTACTATGAGCGAGAGATCGTGACTATTGATATTTCTGTCTCTCTCGTTGCTCAAAACACGCATCCAAAGTTGGAATTCAGTGCCCTACTTTTACTGCATTTTGGCTGCTTCTGAGTCAATTTTTCAACAACTTCATCATCAATAAGCTTTGTGGGTGACCCTTTTCTGAAATATCACGCAAGTCAAGTCAAGTCAGGTATTGTCCCGTGGATAAAAATATAAAACAATGTGATTAAATAAAGGGTGTGGGTTGGATATGGATAAGGCTATGGATTCGGTCGAAGAAACTCGTGATATTGTGATAGTTGGAGGTGGGATTTGCGGCCTTGCCACTGCTCTTGCTCTTCACAGGTTACTTACGCGAACTTCCCTTTGTTTAATTAAGCACGTGGCAAAAGAAAACTGAATTTTGTTTCAGTTACACTTTTACTTTCACTGTCCTAAAATAGTTCATATACAGTACCGAAAAAACACAAAATTTGAATGCAGGAAAGGGTTGAGAAGCATAATTTTGGAAAAATCCGAAACCTTGCGAGATACTGGAGCAGCTATTGCCATCAGAGCTAATGGCTGGCGAGCACTTGATCAGCTTGGCGTTGCCTCTGAGCTTAGACAGAGAGCCAATCCTATTCACATGTATTAACAATTTCAGCTTTAAGGATGAAATTTCATTTCATAAAAAGTTATTGTTTGCTGTTTGATCGAGACTTTTCAAGACAAAAAGATTATAGCCTTGGAGAAGTGTTATTTGCAGTTCCTTGTTATATAGCCTCTGTTTAATTAAGATTTAAAAGTTTTATAAAGATTTGTCCAGTTTGCATGAATATTGTACTAAAATATAGTTGCTTTTGATAGAAAAGCAAAAAAAAAGTACTTAGAAGTGGAAATGTTGAGAATTCGCAATAAGGGTACTTTAAAATTTTCGGATACACGGTTAAAAAACCTGTCATTGGGGAAAAATTGAAAATATGGGGACGTGCTTTCTCTATTTGAAATATGTTGTGATTTTTCATAGTTTTTAAGTGGTTTGCACATTGTACAGAGTGCGAGAAGTATGGATTGATATTGGAAAGCAACAAGAAATACCGGAGTAAGTCATGAACCATTGAACTGATTCTCCAACCCGAACATCTCTAATTGATTATTTGTCTGCTGAAATCATTTTGACAGGATTGGTGAGTGTCGTTGTGTGAAGAGGAATGATCTTATCGAAATCCTGGCCGACGCTTTGCCACCAAGAACAGTGCGATTTGGAAGCCAGATTGTCTCGGTAAAGGTGGACAAGGAAAACTCATTTCCAATTCTTCAACTTTATGGAGATAAATCAATTCAAGCTAAGGTAATACAAAATTAATCTGACTTTTATTTCGTTTTAAGTATCATCCTTTATTTTATTGTATATCAATGCCTCCTGCAATAGTGAGATATTGAGCTTTCCTCTATTGACTGCCTCCTTCCACATGTATTTCTCGATCTTCCATAGCCATGTGAGCTAAAAGCCCCACATCATCTCCAGTGGATCTATTCTTGGGAGTACCCTAAAAAAAAAAATGGAAACTTTCCTCTCCCCTCCCTTCCCTGACCATTTCACCCTCTCTTTTTATTTTTATTTTTTATTTTTTTATTTATTTTTTATTTTTTTAAATGGGATTGGTGTTTTCAAAACCATAACACCTTGATATGCATAAAGTATTTCTTGTCAAGGGTAAGTGTGATGCCAATTGTGCCTGTTGTATTCTAAATGCATGATCATGAACCAGTTTAAAGAGTATATATACTAATTACTATTTCTTAATAAATGAGATGTACTAATTAATAGATTGTTTTGAGAGATTATTTGCAAATTAAAGTCGGAATGGGGCGATAGAAAGGTTTTGTACTGGCCACGGGAGGTTAAGTTTTGCCTCCCTGCCCAATACCAACCTCTTTTCATTGCTGTCCATGAAGGGTGAAGCTCTATCCCCTTACCTCACACATTATACTTCTACGTCAAGTGGTTTTATTCAAAAATTTGAAGGGCGATACAAAGGTACCGGATGTGAACCTCAATAGCCTTTTTGGAGTGCAAAGCAATTGTGCACTTGAAACCAAACCTTGAAGAGCGGTCAATAACGTTTGGGTATGAAGCGATCTGAAGGGTCATACATTGAACAAGAAGCATTTGAATTATGTTGATTTTTCTCATTGATTTTACAGGTTCTGATTGGATGCGATGGATCCAGGTCAACTGTGGCTGATTTCCTCGGGCTCAAAAGCACAAAAATGTTTGCTATTCTTTCAGTTAGAGGTTTAACCAGTTATCCAAATGGTCATGCATTTGATTGTGAGTCCACTCGCATGAGGAGGGGGAAAATCTCGGTAGGACGAGCTCCAATTACTGATAAGTTGGTATATTGGTTCGTCGCTCTACCCTGGACTCCATCAGGTGAAATTTTTCATTTTTCTTTTAAAGTTAAAGATTTGTACAAGCATAATCTCACTAATTCATCTGAATTTGTCATCGCGGTTCATCATTTCTACTTATAAACAGATGAAAGGTTAACTCAAGATCCGGAAGTGATCAAACGATTAGCCTCAAGTAAAGTGAGTGGCTTCTCAAGTGATGTAATAGAAATGATAGAAAGGGCTGAGTTGGATTCGGTGTCTCTGACTCGCTTGAGGCATCGTGCACCATGGGACTTACTACTGACGACATTCAAGAAGGGGACGGTGACAGTGGCTGGAGATGCAATGCATGTAATGGGTCCATTCCTAGGACAAGGTGGTTCAGCAGCTCTAGAAGATGCCGTTGTCCTCGCCAGGTGCTTGGCACAGAAAGTAAGAGCTGAAGACCTATCTATCTCTGGTAACCAAGTACTGATAAACAAAGCTGGAGAAGGGATCGACCTATACGTGAAGGAAAGGAGAAAACGGCTGGTGACATTGTCAACACAAACATATATTACTGGCCTTCTACTGGAAACAAGATCAAAGCTAGTGAAATTCATTGTGATCATGTTGCTGGTCATTCTGTTTAGTGACCCAGTTGGTCACACTAAATATGACTGTGGTAGACTGTAAGGCTGCCTAGTATTTTGTTAGCAATAATCTTGCAAGTTCTTGATGAATTCCACCTACTAATACTAATGTGTTAAATATTCTAGATTTAGAAGTTGAAAACTTTAATGTGTTCAATTTGATTGGGGAGAGAGGATAGAAAGACTAAAACTAGGAGTCATTCTTGACAATCTTTTCATCACACATCACCAAAATGGAAGGTCTGAAAGAAAACATGGGCACATTGTTGATGTTAGGTTGTCGAGTAAGTATGCAACTTTAGTTTTGGTGGGATGTATTTGTTCCAAGCATTTTATTTAATTAGGGAACATTTGGGAACTCCTTTTCTATCCTTGTCCCTTGCCGGATAAAGCCATGGAGCTAAAGGTAGTTTCTTTTTTCGCTTATGACTTAGTCCTGACCACGCAAGGCCTCTTTTTGATTGCTTGTTGTCAAATCGAGATTGAGAGTCAGTAGCAACGAAGTGTTTTCACTTCTTGTAGTAGATTTTTCTCATATAAATAGATCACCTACGTCCACTCTTGAAACGAAACTCCGTATGACGTCGTTTTTAAGGAAATACCAACGTGTAAGTAACTATCTCCTCCAGACCTTACAATAGACACAAAGTTGATGCTTGGATTTTACCCTTCTCAATGTGAATTTCTTGGTTACTGTATGAAATATAAGGGCTACACATTCCTATATCCAAAAAGTATATGCAGCGATAGTGTAACATTCAACACAAACTTGTTTCCTTGTGGTTTTTCCACACCAATCAGTATTACTCATTATGATAAAGTTGGATATCAATTTTTTGTACTCAATTGTTTCCAAATGTCAGTGACCCATCTTGAACGATAGAAAATATCGAAGCCTGCTCTCCCAGCTTCAAATTCTCTCCACGTTCTTCTTCTACTGAGGATCATATTGAAGTCATGTTCTCGGAAAGCATTCCATCAAATGATCCATCTGAAATTTCTCCATTGCAAGTTGCACACACTTAACTTTCTCATCATAGGCTAGATCCAAATCAGGATCTTGCCATAGGTTTAACCATTATCAACCCACCTTTCTTTGGTAAATGTCTACCATTACATTTGGTAAAAATCAATGTTGTAAACAGTAAGGCGTGGCTAAAAAAATTAATTAATTATTATTTATTATTGTTATTATTATTTATTAATACTTATAAATTTTTAACTTTTAGCCAACTGGATTGAAAGGTCCAAAAAGTTGTTTAACCACTTATAGGACCACAAATTTAAAGAGGACAACTCCAAAGACTTTGTTGTGAACTTCCAATGTGAGATAAGGATTTCTTTGGTTGGATTGTAGTGTACTGGCTGTAATGTATTGTACTATTATATAAATAATTATTTATGTTTTAGTACCTTTCAACTATGTATATTTAGTAGGCAATGATTGAATTTTTTATTTATTGAAATTGATTAATATTATCAACGAATTTTTCATAGGTAATATGAATTAATCTTCATCTACGGAATTTTCATTGGTGAAGAGGCTGATTTTATTTTTATTTTTTTGAAATTTTTTTATTACCAACGAATAATCTATTTCTAATTATAAACGGATTGTATCTGTGGGTAATTATTCTTAGGTGAAAAGCTGATTTTTAGTAGTGATATTTGATCACTTCTTTAAAACCCCTTTGAACAAGCATAGCAAAGGAAAACATAGCTGGAGTTAATGTATATTTGCATTAATTCTCAAATTCTTATCATATAGACCGAACATTGATTTGATTAGAGTGGCCATTGCTAAAACTTGGGGGCTTCGAGAAATGCCAATTGTTAGTAGTATGGATGCTACACATGTATTGGTACAAATGAAAAACGAGACTGATTTCTTGCACGCTTGGGCGAGAGAGGGCAGATTCGTAGATGTAGCTTCATTCAGATTATTCAAATGGACTCCAGATTTAGATTTCCATAGGGGGTCATCTTTGGCTCCCCAATGGATATACTTACCTGGACTTCCATTGCATCTCTATTGACCAGACTGTCTTTGTATCTTAGCAACATGATTTGGCTAATATTTGGAAACAGATCATGCTACCCTACATCGAACACTAGCCTCTGGTGCTCGAATCTATGTGGAAATTGATTTATCAACCATGCGGTAGAATGTTTTCCAATCATAGTGGGTTCGACGACTCATTGGCAGAGTATTAAATATGAAAAAAATGGGCTTCCACCGTAAAAAATGTAGGAGATAGGATCACACGGAGGCTGTTTGTAGAGTTGGTCAGCAACTCCATGAGAGGCAGAAAATGAAGAAAGTGGTTACTGCCGGTCTGGAAAAATAAGAATGGAGACAAAAAAAATGGAGATGTGGCTAGTGATGTGGGCACTGGAAAACAACATATGCATGAGGGTGGAGAAATGACTAATTTGTATGCTAGCATTCATATTGGCAAAAGTCAAGAGCAAGGAGGTGATAACAAAACAAAGATCGGTGAAAGTAGTAGATGATATAATCTGGCTGTGGAGAATAATAAGGAGAACAAGGATGGAACAGAGATTAAATTGGGAAGAGACGAAAATATGATCGAGGATGGAACCGAAGCCTCGAAGACTAGTGGAAGCAATATTGTTTTGCTTGGAGGAGGCATTCTTTTGAAACCTGTAGGTGGGACTTATCTAGCGGTGGATGGGGAGCAAGCAAAAGAAGATGGAGAAATAGAGGAGCGAGAGGCAAATTTAAATGAAGATTTGATGGTCACGATTGAGAATAATGAACAAATAAATGATGAAGAGGTACAAGAGGATGATGAAGGGGTTAAAGAAAATGACGAGGAGGTACAAGAGAAATATATGGAACATGACATTGCAGAAGTGGCTATGACAGTATCAGATATAGAGGTGGAATGTATTGTGGAGGAACTGGGAAAGATTTGTGATTGCATTTCAGATTCTGAACAAAGGGCTCAACAACACACGAGGAAAACAGTACACAAGGTTAGAAGCTCTACTAGGGTTCCAAGCAAACCCTCTAGGCTTAATCTATGAGTCGCAACTATCTCTTTTGGAACGTGCGAGACATAGGGACCTCGACACGCAGGTTATGGAAGTTAGTGAGAAGGTATAAGCCGAAACTAGTAGCAATAGCAGAGCCTTGGTAAATAATGGATAGAATGGAAAATTTGCAGAAGAAACAAAAATTTAATTTTAGTTTATCGAACAACGATGTGGAAGGAAAACTATGGATTATATGAGGTCAAGAAGTACAGGTTCATTTGATGAATAAAAGTAACCAAGAAATCACTTGTCTGGTGATAAAAGGGAATTACAGGGTGGTGATTTCTTTTATTTATGCTAAATGCACGGCTGTAGAAAGAAGACTGCTCTGGTCAGAAATAGAAGAGATGAATCATTCAAACATTCCCTGGGTAGTGGTTAGAGATTTTAATAGTATTAGAAACAATTTAGAAAGGCGTGGAGGCCGATCTAGACCAATGGGTGCTATGGAGGATTTTAATCAATTTATTGATAATTGTGGGTTGATGGAAATACAGTTAGATAGCGGGGAAGCTTTTTCTTGGTGTAATGGTCAAACAGTTTGGACTAGTAGTTGAGCAAAATTGGATAGATCATTTTATGATTCTACCTGTTTGGAGCATTTCCTAAATCTTCATATGAGGTATTTAGCATGCACCACATCGGACCATGCACCAATGCTAATTTGGCTAGAGACAAAAATGGATCGCTATGGCCCTAAGTCATTTAAATTCCAACAAATGTGGATTACACATAAGAGCTTTAAGGATTGTGTACTAAAGGTATGGGAAGGAAACACAAAAGGAAGTGGTTTATGGTGCCTAGCTGGAAAACTCAAGAGTTTGAGGACTATGCTACGTAGATGGAAGAAAGACGTGTTTGGGTGGACGCAGGAACACATTCAGCGGCTGGAAAAGGGGCTAGAAGAGTTGGATGCTAATCTTCAAGGGCTTCATTTGGAGGAGATCGAGGATGCCTATTTTGCTAAAAAACAGAACTTCACATTTAGGAAAAGAGAGAAGGAATGCTCCTGGCACAAATAGCAAAGCAGAGGTGGATTGAGAAAGGTGAAGTAAGCAATTAGTTTTTCAAGCAATTTAATGGTAGGACTTTTCACAGGGTGAAGGAGATGTGCAATGCCCCAATTTTTCTATAAACACCGGAACGTTACCAAAACTCACTTTTCCTTAAGTTAAATGCGAAAATATAAAAATAGAATTCTTTAGTAAACAATAACTGCAATATTTATAAATCTAAATTTGAAAACATAAAAATCGTATCTAAACATAAATATAAACTCTTAGTGAATTCAAATAACACATTCTGAATAAATTAAACTAACTGATAAATTTTAAAAACGGCAAACTTATTTCTTTTTCTCTATTCTTTATTCACTTGGCAGCCCGTATCACCAATTCGCCACTGTTCCAATCGATCCGAACTAACCTGTAAAATTAATGTAAGAATGAGTATTTAAAATACCCAGTAAGATACGTGCAATTTCCATGCACCATTACATAACAAATAAATTATACACTTCATACCGTTCTTCTCTTATGGAGTATATCGGTGACCAAGCGACACACCCATCTCAGGTCCTCTTAAATTCCCGTAGAAATATCATATCTCTTTCTCTAGAACCCAAAGGTCCACTAGTAATACATGCATATTAATTGTATATAAAAGCATAAGGAAAATTATGACACTTTGCACATAAATGTATCTTACCTATCTTGAAGAATCTGAATGTACGTTCAAAATCTTTTCTTCACTCTGAAAAACACATGATTAAAATATTTGATGTAGGAAAACTTTATTTCCAATACTACTCTCTTTCTTCCTTTCTCTCTCTCTCTCTCTCCTTTCTCTTTCTCTCTCTTTACCGTATGTATTGTATAAGAATTGGTGTGAGTAAAACTTTTTCAACATGCCTATATTTATAGTGCAGGATTTTTGGAAAAGTGGGACACTGCTCACAATTAATCTTTATCTTAGTCAACCAAAAAGATTCATTGGATTTGTACTACACCTTTGTTTCTATCTCAATCAAGTCACGTATAAAATGTTCCTCAACCCTTTCCTGATTTCAACAGAAGTATTATTT